AATGTAACCGTACTCTCATAATTAAAATCAAAAATCTTAAATTTTTTTTAAGATTTTTGATTTTAATTATGAGAGTACGGTTACTTTTTTTGATTATATTAAAAAAAAAATCGGGACCTGTTAGAACGTCGTAAAGTGTGGCTGCTATGGGTTTTTTTCGGGGCGCTGATCACGAATATTATGTTAGTTTTGATCACAAAGATGTCGTCATGCATTTAGGCCAGGTGGGGTCAGGACGGGTCAGGTCAACCAGTAGGGGTCCTGCCGGGTGTTCGTATTAGGCGTCAACCACCTCTGACTGCTTCGTAACATGTTACGAAGGCACCAAAACTACTTCGTAAATGTTCATATGGTTGCTGAATTCAAATTCAGCTCCAAAAACTAGCCTAGAGACATGTAAAACTCGAAAAAGTGAACCGAGGTCATCAAAGGTCAATGGTCATCAAAGGTCAATGACCTGACCTGACCTTCAGGTGACCTTGACACCCACCCTAATGCATGGGAGCAACATCATATCACATGTTTGAACACTTGAAACCACGAAAAGCTTGCAAACGCGCGGCTAATGCGAGCCGACATACGCCAAATCGTGATTCCGGCCAAACATGGTCTCGAAAAGTAGGGCACAGGTCAAAGGTCATTTGGGTCAGGGTCATGAAATTTCAAGGGTAGGTGTAAAATTGATCAACGCGAGGGCACTACTGAAAGTTTCATCGTGATCGGCCGCTTTTTACGCGAGTTATTCGCGAAAAACCGAGGGGGGTGGTCCGTTCGACCCCCCCCCCCCCAATGTATACGGGCGAGGGTTAAAGCTCCGGGCACCCCCAACCATTTTCACAAATCGACACCCCTGTCCCCTTCCTTAAACCAGTAGTTATTGCCATTTCATTAACAGATCGATTGGTTTCCCGAACCTGCCCTCTTTGTGTCGTGTTACACTATATGTAAATGATAGACAAAATAACTAACTGATTTCCAAGCATTGTGTTATGCTTTCTTTTCTTACACAAAACCTGCTTTCTGTGTAACACACGAAGGCTTTGGTTTGGATGAATGGGTTCAAAGTACCAAACCGGCACAGCTCTGCCTTACCAGCTCTGGAGCTCTGATCACATCGGCACCGGCTGTGATCAAATCCACACCGGCTTTGAGCACGTCAGCGACTACCTGTTTAACTCTCTAATCCACCGAACGTGGGGGAGTAAATCCGATGGCTGTTACGCAATAGTTGTGCAACTGAGTCCAACATTGTCTCCGCAGGTGTGCCAGCGAGTACAACACACCATACACGCCCATCCCAGAGTCTAATAGTTCGGTTTCCATTCTGTCTTTTAAGTTAGGGTGAGATGCAAGAATTGCTTTAGTAAACAGTGCCGAACCTTGTCCGGTCCAATACCACCTACACCTACATTGTAGGACGTAGGTGGTGTCCATTTATGTTCCACAACGTACGCAGTTGGCCGCATTCGGTCGTCGTGCCTATTCGGTAACAATCCATATGCATTCAAACATGGAACATGTTCCAGAAAAAAATTAACACTGCCTAATTAAAAACAGAACCGCAAGAGCAGATGTTCAAATTATACTACCGAACTCAACTCAGCCATTTTTTACACCACTTACTTCTATTGCAAATCCCTAAAAATGGACCTTTTGGTACGAAGCTGACGTTTGAACGTTCGTGACTACATTGCGACACCCATAATCAATCGTCCTACGAAATGCGTGCCGATATGGCAGTGTATACCCGTAGGAGATTAAAACGGGTGTTGTAAAAATAGAATCGTGCACCTCATCCGACGACTTTTTCAAGAGCAACCCGCTATCTCTGGTGACTTAGTCAGCATTTGAATGATTGAGGTTCTGTTCAGTGTTCATATGCAAGAATTAAGCAGTCATAGTGATGTCAGCTGCGCATCTATCTGCGTCACTTTCAGTTTCGGCCAAGGCTCTATAGAACTTTCGACACTGTCTCTTTCGCAGGAGGAGGACGGCTGCTGTGTAGGAGGGCTCTTATCTTTTTCTTTTTCGACTTTGTCGTGATTATGAAAAATGAAGTAGGTACTCATGGGTCTCGCCACTATGCTTCTATTTGTTTATTTCATATCTTATAGAAATTAGAATTGCGTTATGCGTTACTATAACGAAATCATAATTCTACTCTATTGTCAGTATCACTAACAGGCATTCCAGTTTCCTCTTAGTGTAGTTGGCGTTGACAGACGTTTTCGCGTCCCATTCAAAAGAATGCCAAGATTATTGGTAGCTAAGATAGAAGTATTAGCCTTCAGTGCTTGATGACAGCAACAGATGGGCTGATGCCAATGAAATGTCCATTCCTTGGAGATTCCCCACGTCTCTTGTCGTCCGCCATGCCAAGACATTTTAAAAATGTCGCAACAACCAGACATCACGACACACAATCTCATGGACTCTCATGTGCACTCTGCACCAAACCAATGGGAGGACATTGGCGGCCGATCTATGCACTGGCAGTCATGCAGTTCTCTCTCGTTTGACCTCGGTCCTTGCACGGGACACAGCGGGTCATGCTAATCTGTCCCACTCACGCCGTGTTTGTTCGCAGAAGGAGCCGCCCCGAGGTCGTGGCGAGACACTGAGCCATCGGTCCACCCTCCGAGACATTGCAGCCAGCCATCGCACATGATACGGCCGCCGGTTGACGAAACCGAGCCGCTACTCGCTGAGTGACGGGTCAGCGGGGTTTCCAGGTACAGAACGGTTAACATCGAATGGCACCAGTAGCGCAACGATGCTGAAAGTCGCATGGATGGGGCGATTGCTGGTGGTTACAGTCCACTGTCCAGGGAGCGACCATTACAGATTGCAGGCACGTGGAGAAGTGTTGCAACTTCCTGAGCTTTTTGTGAATATCTGAATTGTGAAACGGAATGAACGGATCTGACTCTGTTAGCACTTCAATTAGTTTTAAGAGCGAGAGAGAGAGGAGAGAGAGAGAGAGAGAGAGAGAGAGAGAGAGAGAGAGAGAGAGAGAGAGAGAGAGAGAGAGAGAGAGAGAGAGAGAGAGAGAGAGAAAGAGAGAGAGGGGAGGAGGAGGAGGAGGAAAGAGAAATGAGAATGGAATACAATAATCTATTGGATATCTACTCCTTTTGGTCTATGGTATTCGAATTTTTACTCTTTTTGTACTTGGCTAAATAATGTTTTCATATTCTTTACATTTGTTTGTTAATGAACAACAGAACATTCACATCAAACCTACCTGGAGTACCATGGGGATGAATGCAAAACACCATCTAATGTTTTCATTTTATGGACCAAAATAAGCTCAAAGCTTGGGTGTGTGTGTGTGTGTATGTTTTTTTATAGTATAATCGCCAACAAGATGGCTGCTGGATTTTCATGACCCTGAATCAGATAAAAGGGCGACGGTTATACACTATAGCCCTCAATCTCTGATGCACCTTTCTCAAAAGAGCGCTGCTCATTGCACAGGACCAATGTCAGGCAAACGCCTTAGCTGCTAGCCATTTTCAAGCGCGTCCAGCCTCCACCCTTTTAGCAGCTGACGTGAGCTCAGTGAATGAAACGAGCACATAGCATCATCTCAACCCTTCTCTTGATCGAGATGAGCCAAAAGTCGCCTGACGGGTGGTCAACCGCAAACCACTAGTCTCTTATCATGGTTTGCAGGACAGCCAGGTTAATAAGTCCTAAGTCATCTTTATTATGAAGCGCAGAGCAGCTTTTCAAAACCTGCTTAGCACGTACGAGTATGCTTGCTTAATTGTAGCACTTTCAAAAATAAATGTTGTAATATGTGTGTCAACTCGCCTTTACTATACTATTTGGAATTGAAAGTGCATCATATGTATAGTAGGTGAATGGATACAGATCAACTGCGTGTTTTATTCGACATTCTATTTTGAATAAGGCAAATGCTTCACAAACAATAGCCCTGACCAGACGCCTGAACAAATGACCTAGGCTGAACAAACAGAATAACCAGCTCTCTGCAGCTCCCATTGGCAGCTCTTCCCTCGCCTGGTTTAGCATCTATGCCCGGTGGGCCTGCTGTTCGATTGGCCCCACCGTTCAGGCGAGAGACTGAGCGCTCTCCGGAATAGAGGTCAGGTCGGGCGCTCAGTCCGCCAGTCTGCCCCCAGACGGCATATCTGGCTCTGACCCGCAGTGTTCTGGCCACACCGGTTTGGAGATAACCTCCGAAAACCCGGTTCAGAGGGGATTTTCAAAATGTTTGGGGCACGGTAGTCGTGGCGACATGATGTTACTTTGAGAAATGAGAACGCCAGTCACCAGACTGCAGAATCAGGGCGATAATGGTATATTCCTGCACGACCTAAACGCATTCCCTAAACTCTTCAGTGGTCGATGATCAACTTTCAAGTTGATCTATCCTTGCCAGTGGATCGTATAGAATACTAAATGCAAGCTTATGTGTGTCTGTGTGTGTGTGGGGGGGTGGGAGGGTACAAAAATATCTCAACCTCACGGCTTGTCCATCGAATGACGAGCAGTAAAGGGTGGCTCGAAAGATAGTGAAACTTACGAAACTTTTTTATTTCTTTTTTGTCGTTCGGTTAAATAAAAGCTTAGGTAATCATATAGGCTGGCAAGAGTGTTTGCTCACTATATTGTTAGCAAACAGGGATTATCTGGCTTATAAGCAGAACATTCGATAGCAAGCGTTCATAGCCTTTGAAAAGCCAAAATTTGTTACGCCATCGCTTCCATTGGCATTTGAACTTCTAATTTTGAAGTCATTTGAGGATATTTAGAACTGATATGCATAAATATTTCCTCTTGTTTGCGACTGCTGATAGCGACTTTGTAAAGAAGCAGAACAATCGAAATGATAGCTTTTGACTTTAAAATGAAAATAATTTCCGATCAAAAGCGCGTCATAACCGACTGATGACTGAAATGATCTACTTTTGACCACAAACGCATTAAAGTGAACAGTAAACTGCGGCCACGTTTTTCAGTTAAAATGTCAACTGCCTAACATTGATGTCCTCTGATATTATCGACACTTTATCGCACTCGTGTACCATTCACTATCACATTGCATGGGCTGTACTGCCTGACCATAACCTTCAAACCTCGACGTTGCTGCACAATTTACCGTCTCGAGGTGGCGTATACGGTCAGTCGCGTGCAAACCCTGGGGTACGTGGCCGGACAGGAAGCGCAAACGGCGGGCGAATCGAGGCCGCCATCGTTCCTACCTGCCACGTCTTCACGTGAACAACTGCGGAAAGCGGGGCTCCGTGCACTGTCGAGGAAAGAAGCCCTGTCAGTTGGCAGGGGACGCTCGTCAGTGGCAGGACGCAGACAGCGACAGTGCAGCTGCAGCTATGCGCAAAATTAGGGCCTCGTCGACGGGTGCCGTCAAGACGGCGATGTGCCTGCTCGTCATCGTGGTGCTGTGTAAGGTGAGATAACCGGTCTGGGGATTGTCAACAACATCCGCGTCTCAGTCGCACCCGAGTTTTGGTCGACGGTAAATAAAAGGTGGGTCTAGTTTAATCAAGCTCAGACATTCTTGGAGCTTTAAAGTCTTTTGCTTCCTCGTTAGGAGCTGAAGACGCAGGATCGCAAGCAATGTGCTCCTTGAAAATGAAAGGTGCATTGAACCTCATCAGATGCTTATATTTTGAGCTTATATTTTTATTTGAGCTTATTTGAGCTTATACCTATTTTTGAGCTTATATTTTTGCTTACCTATATTTTGATATTTTGGAATGTTTACCATCAAATCATAATAATTTGTAAAAAAAATATATAACGTACCTACCGGTTTCTATTTGTCTAAGCCTAGCCATCACAAGTGCATAACCTGTAAATTATAATACAGCTTAGTATAACAAAGCATAACACTAACGTAATAACCAACATACAGCATTCACTAACAAATCAGCACTCTGCTTATCGCCCAGACCCTTCCTTCCAGCGTGGACTGCAGCCACCAACACATGTCCTTTCGGTTCAAATTCCAGAATAATGCGCTCAGCAGCAGCGCCGGCAAACCGGTCCCCTGGCCTGAGGCGGGACGAACCGGCTGCTAACCTTGGCAACGTGGCTTGTTGGCCCGGTTTGACGGAAAAATCTCGTCTGCGCTCCTGTTTTCCTTGTGCTTCCCTGCGCATCGCACCCGGTCAAGGCCAAGCCCTACATATATTCACAGCTTTATGCAGAACTGTGCGCTCCATGAAGCAAACGATAATTTGGTTAACTGGGAGTTTTTATCCAAATCTTATTGGCCTAGTCGTGGCAGCATGATACCCATTAGGTACAGTATAAAACACATTCATCCATTACAGTATAAAACGCATGACAACCTAAAACAGCAATGATGTGTGTCAGAAATATTATCTTCTTGTTTACCTTCAATACCCAATTAGCCATACATCACACAGGCATTCCCCCCGGTGGACTAGCAGTTACATAGGCAATGTATACTCTGACTCTGTTTTCTTGGCATTTGGCAGACAGCTGGCATGACTCTTTGACATACCAATCCTGCAGAGCACGTCTTAATTAGATGACAGATTATTGATTCGTCTTGGAGCAAATCGAGTTGTGACCGTTTGGAACAATGCGATTGCTAGCAGCTGTTAGTGTTAGGTAACTGCCGCAATAAAATATCTTATCGTTTCATCAAAATTTTAAATATACCTGTAAGCCCTGCAATAAAGTTGCTAACACAGAGTGGCTCTCTCGAAATTCTTGTCATCTGGGAGGCGCTAATAGCATAGCAGTGATTCTCGTAACAAAAGCTTGTACTACATCGCGACGAAAGTAAAAGTTAGAGTTACGACATCTGACTAATGACTAATCCATTTTTTCTGTTTATTTCAGCTCGTTCCACTCATAAGCAAGTTCTGGTAACTGCTCACGATGTCCTCGGAACATGGGACATTTCTCGGTGGCCGGCCGGCAAAATTTTACAGGTTAGGAATGCCGAATCACATGGTGCATGTTGCACTTATGTTGCAAAAATAAATGAATAACTCATAAATAGTAAGAAGTCAAGCCACAGCCTAATTTTTCGATTTATCATTCTGGATAACTTCTTAATTGATGATTTAACAGAATTCAAACATGTCACCGGTCTTTTAACCCGCGCCGGGCCGGGGGGGGGGGTGTTTGAACACCCCCCTTGCGGTTTTTCGCAGATATCTCAAAAACGGCGTCGCGGAGCGCCGCCGTTTTTGGCACACCTGTTCGTGCATCTTTTCCGCACATGTTGTGAAAATTTCAGACCCAGGTCACCTTAGGTCAGGTCACCAGGTCACGCCAAGTGACCTCACCTCAGAAAAAATAAGAATGCTCGTCCTAGCTACACCGACTGAACGATTGCCTTGAAACTTTCAGCGATTGATTAGAGCAACACTATCTATAAAATGTATATCTCGGAATTTTGATATCGGTGATCTAAGGTCAGGTCAATTTTGCGGCCTCTCCATTATAAGTCAATGGGAGAAAATTGAAAAGCGTCTGTTTTGCACGAACGCTATTCTAGACACTCTCAAACATCGAGATGTAGGTAAAATAGACACACTGAACCAGAAAATGGCAACTGTGACCCCTCGTTATGTCCCCGAGGTCATCTCAGGTCACGAACAGAATCTAACAGTTTTTCGATGATAACTTCTGATAGAGGAGTGCTAGAGCGCTGAAAACGCCTTAGATGTGTTCGGCTCGACGTTGCGGATCGACTGATATACAACATGACCTTTTCCGGTCAGGTCCTGACCTTGACCTGAGGTCAAATTTTCAATTTGACCTTTCAAGGTCAAATTATAGTTCATTCGACGCGTCTCGACGAGAGGAACACGGTGCTGGCAAAAGTAATGTCATAGCTCTTTTGAGTCAAAAGTTATTGCCGAAAAAACGTTTTTCGTAAAAACGGCTATTTTTGGAGTTTTTGCCCTCTGGAGGCTAAACTGTTGACCTGAGGTCAAATCTGAGAACATTACTCAGAAAGGTCTGTAAAAGGGCTATCGAATGCGCTTTGTTGCGGCGCTGTAGCTCTATCGGTTCCCGAGATAGCCGTTGGCAGTTTCCAAAATGTTGAAATAGTCAACATTTTACCTTTGGTGACCTCTGGTGACCTGACCTTTGACCTGACCCAAAAAATGACCGAAGTGTTTTCGTTCTTATTTTTGACGTTCTTTCGATTGCCGCTTACTGCGTGTCGCTACGTGGCCCAGGAGCGGAGTTAGAAGGGGGGGGGGTGTTCAAACACCCCCCGCGGCCCGGCGCGGAATCTCAGAGCACCGGCCCGGCGCGGGTTAAAACAACCAATTTGCACTAAATTATTCAAGAGTTCCCATCCTCTACGGCAAACAAAGTACTCACCATGATGTTCAGCTTCATAATAATTTTGAGCTCATCTGTAACGCTTGACACTTAAGCTTGTCAAAATATAATAGCTTTCCTAAAATGTATATGTAATAGACTCCTCTCTGTATACTACCTATCTAACTCGTTAGCTGTCTATCACGTTCAAAGATGATTGCAAATAAATAGGTGTTTGCAAACGTTGTAAGTATGAAGTACAGAAGACTATGCAAACCGGCCTGTAAAAGTTCTCTCCACCGTTGCCACTCTCCTTTACATACGAAACTGACTGTTCTCTCTCGTCTTCACAGATGGACCTGTGGACCCGTCTTCTGTTCCCGAACGGTACCGATTTCCTCTGGGAGTCGAGCACCAAGGTGGCCGACGCGCCGGATGTGGACACCCTGATCCCCCGCCCCCTCACCGGCGGCTTCTGCCAGCGTGGCGAGGAGTGGGCCACGCCAGACATACTGGCCCACGCCGTGGGGAAGGGACCGGTCACCGAGCGTGCCGGCCAGAGCACCGTGTTCCGGCGGGACGGCCGCGTGAAACGGCGCCGACTGGGTCTGTACTCAGCCAGCCGCACACCCAGCGGACTCTGCTGAGAATGTACAGCAGACTGCTGAGAGCGCCCAGCGGACTCTGTTGAGAGCGATACATGGTCTCTGCTGACAGAGCCGAGCTGATGCTGAAAATGCCCAGTGGTCTCAGCTGAGAACAATACATGGACTCTGCTGAGGACGGTACACGAACTCTGCTGAGAACATACAGTGGACTATGCTGAGAAAGCACAGCGTACTGAGCTAAGAACCGTACAGGAGTAATCAAAGTCTGCTTGTATGCGGTTCAGCGGTCGTGAATGATTCGAACGCGAGCAAATGGAACCGAATCCGGGCAAGGTGCAAGGTGGAATTGTAAAACGGTAATTTGCGAATGCTTGACGGGATGTGTGGCATTAGTATAATTGGGTAAAATCCTGCCTTTTTAACCCTCGCCCGCACATGGGGGGGGGGTTGCCACCCCCCAGGTAGTCTTTCTGCTCTGCACTCGACATTTTTAGAGCTAGAAGGCTGATTTTTCGTATAGCTGCTCCTCTATCCTTTCTTGATGTTCACCGAAAATTTCAAGTTTCTGTGACTTTTGGTTTCGGAGATATGACCTTGTTTTTTTTTCAGGTCATGTCATGACCCAAATGGCCAATTCTCAACATCTTGCGTTTGCTATGGGCCTTGTGAGCTTTTGACACCTTGATTTCGGCCTTTTTTGCCAGTCTTACCTCCCACCTATCATGGAACAAGTTGTTCGACGATGTACAGGTGTCAAGGTCAGGGTCAAGGTCAACCTAGGTCATCTAAGATAATTGCGTTTTAGGCAAGCTAAATTTACTTTTTGTGAAGTTTTTTGACTGCATTTCTGGTAAAAGCTTATCAGATCATGATTTCATGTAATATGGACACATAAACAATCGGTGTACACATCAGTATACACACAGCCACACACAGACATACAAACACATATAATTGACCTTGACCTAGCTTGACCTGAAATGACCTCAGCAACAAAAATCTGGTCGGGTAGTGTGACAAAGAGGTTCTAGCTGGCTTGGCACCAGAAAACGGCATCGTCATCGGAATATGCTAAGCAGCCCACTTGATATCCAACGGTGACCCAAAACAGCAACATTTTTTAGTTTGACCTGACCTGGAAGGTCAATGACTGACCTGAGAAGGTAAAACTGGGTATCATTGGATTTGTCTCTTCCCAAAGAATCTTTTTGGTCCTTACCGCTAAGCTCTATCTCCAACAGGAACGAAATGGCGCGGAGGGTGGCAGCCCCCCCCCCCCCCCATGTGCGTTCTAGGATGGGAAAATGGCATGTGCGGGCGAGGGTTAAGAGGCTTGGATGCAAGTGTGCGTGTATTTCGTATTGGTTGTGTTCTTAGAAAGACGACCAACATAAAGTTGAACGTCAAGGAACTCGCGCAGTGTTGGCGATGCAGGCAAATGGTGATAAACACTGCATATCATGTCCGAATCCACTGTAAATAAATGACCAATTGTCTTGTAGTTTCTGTTTGCTATGTGATCAAGCACCGATAATTATTTACAATTATATAGTTGCATTCCTGTATTTGTTCAAAGATTTTTTCACATTTGGGAGGTGTTTTGAAATTTCCTGCGAAAGATGCAAAACAAATTAATTGCGATGGTATGTGCAAATGAGATATGTACACTAACACACGGTCACGAACAGCCTTTATAACCTCGTTAAATTGTGACAGCACAGATACCTACAGTTGTTAGTTATATTGTTGAGGTCCAATTTTGAAAGGATTTAACAACAATTAGACAATTAGATATTGCAGCTGTGCATTCACTTTTCATTCAGAAATCCCACTTTTTCTGATATTTTTTGGCGCTTAACCCGCGACCGCCTGGGGGGTCGGATCCGACCCCCTCCTCCGTTTTTCTTGAATAACTCACGAACCGCTTACCCTATCTACTTGACATTTGGCATACCTTCTTCCCCATCAATTTGACGTCTCCTGTGCACTTTTTAAGAAAAAATTTCCAAAAACTTTTGAGATATATCGATTTTAGTGATGCAACTACGTGGCGTTTTCAGTCAAAAAGTGGTAAATGTTTTAAAAAAAATCGCAAAAAATCGAGGTTTTAAGCAAATTGCAAATTAAGGAAATGAATAGACGCACCTCAACGAGTTCTTTAAAATGGCTATCTCGGATTTTCCATAAAATGCGTTTTTCACCCCGAAAAATTAAAAAAACTATATTTTTTGGAAAACAGCTAATGAAATCCAAAATTTTGGGAATTTCCAAAAAAAAACGGAATATATGTTATAGAGCTCTATTAGAATATTAGATGTCCCAAATTTCAGCTTTCTATCTTGATTTTTGACCCCCAAATTGTAAAAAATAGCTCCAACATGCATAGGGCATGGTGACGTCATAAGCATTTTCGTGAATTAGAGGCACTTCTGAACATCGCATGTGAAAACAAATGGCACCACTAGATTCCTGGGACAAAGCTCGTCTAGAAAAATGCATTTTTATGTCAAAAATAAAAAGTTGAAAAGTTGACTTTTTCTTAGCCCTCGTTTAGTTATATATGGTATAAACGATTTTTATGCTTTCAATGCACACTTATCACCAGCACAGTGACTTAAGGTCACATATAACCATTACCATCGGATTCGGCGTGAAAAATAAGCCATAAAACATGTGTCGCACGCCCATGTAGCAGAAAGTGAAAACCGTGACCTTTCGTGACCTGACCTGACCTTGACCCGTACTTATTATGGCCTTTATACGCACATGGTACCTTCACTAGGCCCTTGAGGTCATTTTTGGTGAGTTTCGAGCAGCAACTATCGATTCCGCTGTCCGTAAGCCTAATCATGCAAAACCCCTGAATTTGACCTTTGATAATCATTACGGAGCTTCATGGCAAGATAAGTGTATATGTAAATACACACATAAGTGTCTGCATTCAATGATAACAGGCACCTGGCACATTTTGGTCGCGTCACACCACTTCCTTTACCACTTTGACGTTTTATGGCCACAGGTTTATGGCCGCAGTAGAGATGGAGCAGGTGCCACAGTGGATGGGAACAGACCAGGGACCAATGGAGAGGTGGCGCCACATGTGTCGCATAAATCCAATGGGAAATGCGGATTTGATGTCGATTGATTCCAGTCACTAACGTACCGCTCAACCACAGTGATATAAGCTCAAATGAGCACCAGAGCTATCACAGAGTGGCTCCAGCAGTCTGAGTACCTCCATGTATATTGCATGCGCATGGATACTTGCCCATTCGCGAGACTAAAATCGTCGCGATTTTGTGTGAATCGGGACTCTCTTGATCTGCTCGTTGTAGGCATTCAGTTTTTAGTAACATTTTTCAACAGCCGTCTTGAATCACTTTTGATTTCTACGATTCGCAAAATGGATAATTTGGATCTGATACAGCATTCGTGAATATCCTGACCTTGCGGGGTGCAGGCCCCCCCCCCCGTTTTACCGTGCAATAATTGAACAGAAGTCCCCTGAAGTTAATAATAAATATTCATATGTCATATGTGCGTTACAAAGGCCAAAGCAGCACTTTACTCTTGTTGCCAGCGACCATTCATCATTGTCTTACCGTTCTTATCCCCTGTTTTCCGGTCTGCGCCCGTCACATTGTTTACTTTCCCTCTTGTCTTGCAAAGGCCAAATAATTAAAGCTCTGAGAAGCTATCGAAGCTGCTTATTGCGTTCTGCAGGAGATGGATGATAGCTAAACTCACTTCAAGCTTAATCGCTGACCATTGAAACGCGCATCATTCAGGATGCATTCAGCATTCAATTGTTCAACAGAAATATAGCTAAAAGGCATCGTCAAGTAACGTTGTAGTTGAATAATTGTTATTTTTACAGTTAGGTGAATGTTCTCAAATACTTATAAGTAGAAGTCACTATTATCATAACACTGTTTATGTGTGGTTTGTGTTGTGAATGTTGGTTGCATGGTGTCAGGTAACTACTATATAACTTGGTCAAATACGTTGAGTACAGCTTCGCTATGGCTAATATTTATTGCTCGTTTCTGTTAGCGCCTACCACAAAAGCAACAAGGAGACAAACACTGAACTGAACTACGTTTTGTTGAACGCCATAACTCATAATTACGCCCTCCCTGGTGGTTGTTTTCATTGGCTGTCAGCCAATTTACTTGACCCACTATTTTTTACCCGACGCCCCGCCGGCGAAGTAATGCAATCTGACAGGGAAAATGAAAGTGTAGGGCGTGACCCGTCACACCATATGGTGCAGGCCAGCTTATTTTGCCGCCCCGAAGCCTAGTTCTTTCCGAACGGGGATCAGCCGCTTCGAGCAACAGGATGCAGTACGAGGTATTTACGTCCTAAATAAAATATCGGGAAGGGTTGCGGCAAAAAGAGCCACTTATTTTCTTGTAAGGTTGATTTGCGTTTTTTTAGGATTAAATATAAACAATTAATATGTGGGCAACAATCGTAGATAGCTAACGAATTCAGAGACATGCTCATATATCGCGATTGTTTTCCGTGTTATACCTAATGTGTTTCCTAACAAACCAAACCAAACAAAATCAAAAGAAATCAAGTTCAGACTAACACACAGTTAGCACATAATAAATAGAATAGTTATACTAAATACGTTAGCGCCATTTTCAAAACGGTTCACCACCCGTCCGCTCTGTAGTTGATCTCCCGTTACCACAGTCATGACCGACGCGGCGAACCAAGGCCTCCAGCCGCCTAATGAGCTTCTCCCAGGAGTAATCCAGCCGTATCACCCGGCCGGAACCAGCCGGCGGAACAGTCTCGCCGAATGGACCACCATCCGTCCGTCTGGAGCATGTATGGATTATAACTGAGTGGCCAGCGCGGAGAGATTGTTACAACGTTTTAACCAGAACCGTACTTTCCGCTATGTGTCTGGACTCTGGACTGACCAATACGCTCAAAACGCATGAGATTATAACACCAGATTATAATGCACCAGCCCACTTGCCATGACCTGGATAGGTGGCATTTGACCACCACTTTGTCCGTGTGATCC